TCAAGCCTTTAAGACCCCAGACGCTATACTTTTTGATAGCCGGGCACCATCAGCTTTCTTCACCACATTTGCTTATTCACCCGCTTTGTCTTCCGTGATCCGTTTGACACCTCGTGATCACACAGGTTGATATGTTGTTCCATGTGGGCTTTGTTGCTTCAGTAGTTGTATCTTAGAAGGCTGCTTGCAAACTTTTAAGATCCCCTTCAATAATCACCAAGGTAAAACATTTTCTTTAGGAACTATGTTATGCTAATGGACCTAGATGCCTGCCAATTTATCTGTTTGTCGGCTAAGACTATGGTCCTACGCCCCCAAGCCCAATAGCTCAGTTTCTGAAGGTCTTTGGTGATGGCTAAGGAGTTTGCATAATTTTGTCTCTTGTATACTCTATTACATGCCCCGATATATTTGCTGCACATACAAACATTTATATGTAGAAACATCCATTGGCAATAAATGCTTGTGGGTATACTCTCATCTCTGTTCAGCCTATTTATCTACCTATGTATCCACTAATAAATTATTGTTTATAACTGTTATTTCAGTGTAGTGTATGCAATAACATTTGCCACTATTGCCTTTTACCTTTGGGCACCTACCACTCTCTTCTTTGGCTTTGGTCATGTTGTGCTGACCACCCCCTCAGTAAGCATTACCTTTATCTCCACCTAAGTTAATATCTATTATCTAGTTAGTGGGTTTTTCTTCCTCTCTATCTTATCCTCTAGTACCCATCAAAAAATGTTTCCTTCAGTGTTTAAATTTTTTCTTGGCCTTTTATAAATAGTGATCTTATATAATATCATTTTGTTATTTATGTCATTCAGCATGATTGTCCTCCAGGTTCATTGGTGTTGTGACATACTTTGCAGATTCATCATTGTTTTTAAAAATTTTATTTTATTTTTCATCACTATTCATACATTTCATAGTATCCCTTTGTCTATGTACCATATATGTATATATGCCATATATGTACCTCTCCATTTTTCATGTGCACTATACTATACTATACTATTGATGGAGACTTATATTTCTACCTTTTTTCTTTTGTGAATAATGCTGCAATAAACTTGAGTGTGCATAGCTCTATCTGTGTCATGGCTCTTCTTTCTCTAGGATATGTACTAAGTTGTAAGATTTCTGGGTCGTATGATATTTCTATTTCCACCTGTGTTAGGGTAGACTAGAGAAAAAAATTCTTGGACACTTATATGTATGTAAGAGAGAGCTTAAATTATCCTACCCTAGTCCAGATCAAGTTCGTAAGTTTGATATTAGCCCATATGTCTGAGACAATCTATAAATTCCTCTTCAGACTCACAAAACACATGCAATGACACCGAATGCAGGAAGATTGCAGGCCGCTGAGTGGAAAGTCTTGTGGATCCAGTGGTGGTGGAAGCATCTCAGTGCTGGCAGGGGTCTCCTTCAGCTCCCGGGCTCTAGCATAGCTCCATGTGTCTTGTCAACAGGAATGACCCACAGGGAGTGTCTGTCTCTCCAGACTCCAGCGAGCTATTGCAAATGAGGTCATCAAGCTGCGAGATGAGTGACAGGCTAAACTCCACCCCTTCAATCTTAATGGTCTCAAGTTGACAACAGATTATGTAACTACCACTCTACCTTTTTAAAGAAATGTCATACTGTTTTCCACAGTAGTTCCACCATTTTACAATTCCACCAGCAGTATATGAGAGCGTCAACCTCCCCACACCTGTGGCAACATTTGTTAGTTTCTCTTTTTTGATCATTGCTATTAATGCCAAGTTAAGATGCTACCTATTGTTGATTCACATTCTCTCTAATGACCGATGATCACAAGCATGTGTCTGTCTGCCTGCCATCTGAATGTCTTCCTTGGTGAATTGTCTGTTCATGTCCCTTTTCCATTTTATTTATTTATTTGTGTAATCACTCTACTGGGAGCTCTTATAGATATTATAACAATCATAAGTCAATTATACCAAGTGAACTTGTACATGTGTTGCCATCACCATTTTTCAAAACATTGTCTTTCTACTTGAGCCCTTGGTATCAGCTCCTTTTTCTCTCCTTCCCTTCCCTTCCCACACTCGTGAACCCTTAATAAATTATATAGTTATTATTTTTTCATATCTTACACTACCCGCTGTATCCCTTCAGCCACATTTCTGTTATTCATCCCCCTGGGGAGGGGAGCACTTTGTCCATTTTCAATTGGATTATTTGTCTTTTTATGGTTGAAGTGCTTAAATTTTCTATTAATTTTAGAGATCAGTCTCTTGTATGTCATTGCCAAATCTTTCTCCCCTCCAGTCTGCAGGTTTTCCTTTTCCTTGCCCAGAAGTCTTTTTGTGTTTCACTTTGGAGAGGTCTTGAATCCTCTAAGTTATCATCTGCTGGTAAAGTTTCAGTTATGTTTGATAGACTATGGCACAAATTGGGGTACCTAAGTTGGCCCTTATTTTTTCTCTCCATGATCTGTATAGTTTTAGGTTTTATATGTAGGTTTTTGATCCATCTTATTTTTTAAATTGTGTGTGAGGTATGGGTCCTATGCCATTTTTCTGCAAATGAATATCCAGTTTTTCTAGCACCATTTGTTGAAGAAACAATCTCTTCTAATGGATTCAATCTAGTGGATTTTAATTGTTGAAGATTAGTCATGCATCCCAAACCAAGTCTACTGCTGTCAAATCAATTCTGCCCCTAGCAACCCTACAGGACAGGGAGAACTGCTCCTCCATAGAACTTCTCTGTGGAAGCAGACTGCCAATAATTTTTCCCCCCCCAGAGGAAAGTGGTAAGTTTGTAGCACCGGCCTATTAGTTAAGTCAAGTACTTTAACTAATGTGCTCCTTCCAGCTGTCCATTAGTGAATGGACTTACTTCTGGGTTTCAATTTTGTTCCATTGGTCTATGTGTCTATTTTACCAGTATTAGACTGTTCTGATTAATATAGAGCCCTAGTGGTGGAGGGGGTTCCTTGTTACTAAGTGCAAGTTCAGTAGTTCAAACCCACCAGCTGCTCCTTGGGAAAAAGATGAGACTTTCTGCTCCCATAAAGATTTACAACCTTAGAAACCAACAGGGTCAAACCCACTGTCTTATCGGGCCACTCTGAGTCAGGATTGATTTGGTGGCAATGAGTTTGCTTTTGTTATTATTTTTATAGTAGGTTTTGAGTCTGGTTCCTTTTATTTTGAATTTTACAAATCTCTTTTTAAAGTATATATATATATTTTTTTAAAGTGGTCTTTCTTAAGAATGCTTTACTGTATAATTTTCTGATTTCAAGCAAAACATAAATGCCCTGTAAACATCAGAAAATGCAAGTTACAGGAGAAAAAAAATTTTCATTTTATATGCTGCTAATGCATGTTTATATTACAAACTGGCATTATATAATTAAAAAAAAATCATGTTAATGGGGGCTCATACAACTCTTATCACAATCCATCCATCCATTGTGTCATGCACATTTGTACATTCGTTGCCCTCATCATTCTCAAAACATTTGCTCTCCACTTAAGCCTTCGGTATCAGCTCCTCATTTTTTTTACATTATATTATCTTACAATGTGCTTTTAATAAATAAGTATTCATCACGCCATTAGATATTTTTCTTCAACATATTTAATGACTACTATATTTTTGTAATGATGTATGCTATTGTTAAATAAAACTCTAATTTCACTTAACACTCTTAAAACATTGGGAATTTTGCTTGTTTCCATGTATGGTGAAGTATTTTGGAGAAGTATAAATGGAGTTGTGGCCAGGGTGTGGTGACAAAATCCCTGAAAACACACAATAGAGTATTTTGTGGACACAGGATATTGGGACTAGAGATAACTAGGAGAAATTAAAATTCCCCTAATAATCTTAGCTATGCTGGTTGTCGCAGGTTAAGGGGATGACGCTTTGAGCCAATTGTATTTAAGTGTTAAAGACAGTGACCCACCTGGCCTATAGAAGACTTGGGGGGTCATCCGCACAATCTGTGGAAACATGCAGCTCTCATGTATCCTTAAAATGTTTCAGTAAGCATGCCTACCTTGTTCCAAACATTCCTATCTTTATGAATCCTTCAAATCTTGCAGGAAAATTTCTGCCTTTTTGTCCCTCCTGGCCGTCACTCTTGTCCTCCTCGGGCATCTTGTACCACTGAAATGGAAGAAGAAAGAAAAAGAAAGGGGTGTGTGTGTCACCCCCACCCCATTCCTTGACTCAACTATCCATTGGGGTACAGGCCCACTTTCTCTTCCTTTTCACTGCGAAGACTTCTTCTGGAAAGGATCATCATCCTTTATTGCCTTCATTGTTTCACTATTAGCAGAGTCGTTGCCCAGGTGCTCAGCTCCGTGTCTGGTGCACCGCAGGCCCAGGTTAAATGTTAGTTCCACGCGCTTGCAAATTAGCATCTCTTTCCCGGGCTCTTCGGGAAGAATTACTCCGTGGTTAGTACAGGGTGTTTGCTGACTGCCAGTCACTAGGGCCTAGTTGCCGCCTTAATGCTGCGGATCTCATTTCCAGGTGCTCCTAGGTCTTGGCAGGTCCTGCTGGGCACCCTCCCGGCCTCGTCGACGTCTCCGAGAGCTGTCCCAGTCCACCCCTGGGAGCCACCGGTCGCCAGTCCTCCAACTCTGTTTGCTGCGTGGGTTACCGGAGGCAGCATGTCAGGGCCCCCTTCCTCCGCCCTTATATCCAGCAATGGCCAAACACTTAGGGCGCACTGCTAAGGGTGCCACCCCTGCCTCCTTCACTCCACAGCCCTCCGCCAGGCCCAGCTCCGTGCGCAGATCCCCGGGGAGCGGCTGCGGTCCCGGCTCCAGAGGCGCTCGCCGTCGGCCGTGATATCCAGCAATGGCCAAACACTTAGGGCGCACTGCTAAGGGTGCCACCCCTGCCTCCTTCACTCCACAGCCCTCCGCCAGGCCCCGCTCCGTGCGCAGATCCCCGGGGAGCGGCTGCGGTCCCGGCTCCAGAGGCGCTCGCCGTCGGCC